GAAACGTGATCACATACTTGAATTTATGATAAGAGACAGTAGGTATCTCTTTGATATCAGTATGAATGAGATCTAACGGTTCCGATGCTCGTTTCTCAGACTTAGGGTAGGATTGAGATTTTTCTTTTCCAAGAGCACAACCTTTGCAAGGTGCATCTTCAGAAGGTATAGAAATCTTGGGAAGTCCTTTGACATGGGGTTGTGTATTGCGTAAGACTACTTTACTGGGATGACCAAAGCGATTATGCCATGTGTCATAATCTAGGGGTATTTTATTGACTAGACCTCTTTCTGGAGTTACAATTGAAGAGGATAGCCAATGAAGATTTTCCCCAGAAGATTTAGGAGCACATGTCATTAAAACTTTCCGATCAGATTTCCGACGAATTTGAGTTTTATCCTCATCAGAGACTGCAAAGCAGCCTTGTCGGTTTAATAAACCAACAGATAAAAGGCGATGTGTGCATTGCGGTTGGTAAAACACCGGATATAATTTAGTCGTATGAGTATAATTGAGACCATTATGGTGCTTAATAAATACAGTTCCAACCCCTTTGATTAGGGTTTTGGAGCCTATGTTGGCAGTTTGTACTGGAATTGGAGTTTCAAGTTCTCTATATTGAGCAAAGTCCTCAATGTGAGGAGTGAAGTGTGCAGAAGCACCAGAGTCAAGCAGCCAAAAGTCTTTTGAAGACTGTTCTTGCGAGTTCTCAAACTTAGGAGTATTGACATAATGCACATCAGAATATATTTTATTATCTCCATCGAGGAGATCAGAAACTACAGAGTTCATATTATATACATGCTGGTCTTTCGACCTTGAAAATGATCGCATGGTGTCATAGAACATCTGTTTAGTCCGGTGCAATTTGTTAATAGTATTTCTCCTGAATTTAGAAAGAGGAACTTGCCAGTACATGAGGCGCTCGTCACCTTCACCTGTAATCTCCATATCGTACATTTCATCTGCCCATGTCAATCTAACCTCCTCCTCTTCTTGCTTCATGTTAGCAAGAATAGGGTCCTCTTCTTCATCCTCATAATTGGGGAGATCGTCGAGTTTGAGGGCAGAAGAGGATGCATGAGGTATATTGACGACATATGCGGAACTGAATTGAGCCACCGATGAATCAGATTGCTGAACAGATTCGTGTGCTGTTTGATTCGCTTTTCCTTTGCCTTTGCCTTTTCCACGTCGGGGTTTCTTGTTCTTATTCTGCGGCGCAGGTGCTGAAGGAGTCTGCTGCCCAGACTTGGGCGCTCCTCCTTTTTGTTTCTTCTGGTCTCGCCATTGTGAATTATGATCACCATAGCGTTTGATACCAGAGAGCCGGGCAGTAAGAGAAGATTCCGAGTTTTTAATGGAAGTTCGACGGGAATACTCGTCTTGAATGCCAGATGCGATGTTATTGAGATCTAATGATTTCGCATCATATTGAGACAGCATAGTCATGGCAAGATTATCCCATGAACGAGGCAAGGCGGCAAGAAGAATCATGGCTTGAATCTGATCTGTGAGTTTGAGACCAAAATCATCAAGTCGAGTAAAGATTGACCGCAAATTGGCGATAGGCATTGCAGGGTCAGCATCTTCTCTCAACTCAAAGTTGATTGCCTCTTTGAAAATTCCAAAGATACCAGCAGCGCGAGGTGTACCATATTGTGTTTTAATCTCGTCCCATGTTTCCTGAGCAGAGTCTCTGACCATACTCTCTCGGAGACCCTTCGGGAGTTTGAGAGTAATAATACCAATGGCTGAGTCATCTTTTTCATCCCACTCACGAATCTCTTTCTTGAGTTCAGCAGATGTAGTCTCTACACGGTCCGCTCCAGTTCCTGAATAAGTTTCTTTAGGTCTTTCATCCCGACCAGAAACTACACCCCAAGCTCTAGAGAAGCGGAGATAGGCAATCATGGTAGATTCCCATTCGCTGTAGTTGGAGCCGTTGAGTTCAGGAATGGCAAAGGCAACAGTGTTGGACATGTTGTATGAATAGAGTTCTATAAGAAGAAGAACAGTTTGATTAGAACGTTCCTTCAAGTCATGAACATCGATCATATCAACATTGGTTTTTACTCATTGACTTAAATCACGGTGTTGATCGCATTTTTCCATCTTGTATCCATCTCCGATCTGATCATTCCTATCAGACTCGGTATATATGTAAAACTATATACAAATCCTATGTGTCATTTGAAAGCTATTCATCTATCGTTCATTAATAGTGCAGTCCAGAAGACGCACATATTAAGCACAAATAGACTAGTAGCGTAAAAGGGACTTAAGACACATGGTGTAACAGTACTGTAATACGGAGGCCAAGAAAGCCACACATGTTCGCAAATGCCCAGCCTACGCAGAAGTGCTTTTGATTATTCACACTCTGGCAGAAGTCTACCTGGGAAGAGGGTTCGGACCTCTAACAAACCACCATTAAAGGTGAGAATGCAAAGCTCGTTCATGTGGACTGCCTGTGTATACTACTGTTAGTTTTATTCAATGGGATGTCATTTATATTACAGACAGAGCCCTCGGATGGATGGAATAAAGACGATCTAAGGGATTACCTTATACCAAAACCACAAGCACAACATCAAACACTTTTTAATACTCGGTCATGAGCATTAGGAAAGCGTTGGTGAACACGATCAACCACTCGTAAGATAACACAGTGGAGTAACGACCAGTGTTGAGCTAACCGGGGCCCATAACCTGTTGAAAACAGCAATCAATCTTACGATAGGTTGATGCTTTTACTCACCGAGTATAAGCTTGCTGAGGAGACTTCAGATAGCGAAGTTGAGATGATAGAAACTCTTGAATAAGAGGCTTATTGTTACAGAGGAACATCTACAGTATTTATACTAGAAGAGTTAACACCCTATGACAATGATGAATAATAATGAATCATGTATACAGCATGTAAGATGAGTAAAGTACGATCATAGGTGTAAAGAATAATGCATATAACATGTGTATGTAGTCCGTCTAGCACACTGCAAAAGCTGTAGAGCGAATAGCATTAAGAGAGCATAAAGCTGAAATGAAATACAGCAGTAAGGCTGTATGTTGCATGAGAAATAACAATAGAATATTGTTAAAGGGCTAAGAAATACATGATAGCTGCATGTCGATCACTCATTAATAGTCAGTGCTATGCTTAGTAAATAAGCGCACATGATATCATGATTAGATAGACTTAAGCGCTAATCTAATTTCAACATCTCGGACTGCTGAATTGTGCTGATGGTGATGGATGGGAGGGGACGGAGTGACGTTCGTCCTAGCTATGTGAGCATACGAGGTACCTGACGTGTCGTTCGCGATTTCGCCATCTTCCTTACCACTGAGTTGTTGTCGATCGGGTAGAGAGTTGCCCAGCGTGGCTATCTTCGTAGATATCTCGGTTACTCTGCTCGTCATCTCTTCTAACTTGCTCAGTGCTGCCTGGGCTTCTGTTGCTATTTCTTCCACCCTCTCGCCTACCATCTTTGCTTTTACTGTGAGGCTCTCTTCGAAGTTCTCGATTATCTCCGTCTTTCTCTCCTTCCAGGACCATTCCTGTAAGATCTTGGCTATTAACGCGATCCTATCGAGCACCTCGTTCAAGGCCGTTTTGGTTCTTCCGGGTTCTTTCGCAGCTGCCGCCAGACGTAACAGTTTGGTTGGTAGGACCTCGTGGCACTCGTCGTCCTTCGACATGAGCTTCCATGTAATCGCTTTCTCAATGAGAAGCTGAAACTCTTCGTTCTCGCCCTCGGTTTGGGTTGGACTCGTCGGCCTCGGATTCAGGTTCGTCTTTGTTTGGAACGTCAACTTCGTCTGCGATGGTGTGCCGTCTTTCCCATTACTCGTGGTACTTCTTGTCGTCATACGTTTTATATAGTCTCTCTCGTGTGTTGTATGAGGTGTATTTGTGAGATACGAGGGTGTAAAGGTGTGATTTACTCTTAATCTGAGCTACTTTGCCTACCGAAGCCTTATTCACCACTTTCTGAGCGTGGGAATAGTCATAGGTGGTGGCAGTACTAGATCAAAGAGCGGTCCTAGACTGTATCTACTGTATTCAATCCTATAATGCTGGAATGATATAACTGGGTAGGGCTGCGAGCTTGCAGCGGCCTCCAACTCTTTTGAACTTATATTGTGTTGTTGACAATCAGGCAAGCCGCAAACCTCAATATGCAACACATTTTGCAAACCTGACTGTTGGCAGATAACACAGTCAGGTTTGCGATGGATGAAGGCACTCAGTGAAAACATGAATACAGTCTTAAGCAAGTTGTGTCAGTCACAGTGACTGCATTTGGGTTGCAGAGGTCTGAGGAAGTGATCAAAGAAAGAGGAGGTTAATATGTTGATGTCAACAATACTCAACTGTAACATAAGTAGATAGTCAAAAATTTCAAACCATGGACTATTCAGGGAGGTTCATGGTTCTTATTGTGTACACTGCACTCTCATTGTGTCTGTTACAATTTTTGCATAGCAATATATGCAACTAACACCTGCATCAGTGAACGGAGCTGGGAGAATGAAAAATCAGCAATGAGATTGAGGTTGCAAGCACATAAATGATAACAGTTCATTATGCCAGTGTTAGGTCTGCCAGTTAGATGCTGTTTTGAATGATAAAACAAGCATGACAAAAGTGATATATAGCCAAGCTGATGAGAAAATTTGAAATGGATTAACCCAAAAGGGCAAGATAAAGGATTTTGACTCTGTGTTTTAATGACTACATGACCCTCCTCTAAAGAGTTGGAGATTATACATACACTCTTTTCTTCTTTCCTTTGCATTTCTTTGTTACTCATGGTGTACATATGATTTAATGAATACTGAAAGATCCTCCTACAAATACAATGCTCAAAAGAGTCACTGCAAAACCATCCTCAACCTAAGGAAAATTATATCTCTCTAAGCTCAAGCCTTGATACTTAGCACTTAGCCTTTGAACTTCATAAATTATGATGCACCCTTACTATTATTTACCTATGCATTAATGGGGTAGTGGTAACCTGGGTCGTTGCCATCCATTGTGCTGTTTAAATTCTTTCGACCCGCCGGGGGTTCGATTCCCCCTTAATGCATAGTTACGAATGAGGTAGTAATTTAATTTTTGTATGGTTGAATCACAATATTTTTTCATATCTTTTTGCTGTATGTATTATTTTATAAAATATTATTTTTTGAAGACAAAATGACCTTGACCTTGACCTTCAGTTGTTTCAATGTCTGTGTATTTGTTTGAGGTGAGCTGCCACTCATCAAATTATTTTTTCTTGTCTTGTTGATCAATACTTACTATTTTTCAATGCTCATCACTCAGTATTTATACAGTACTCAATGTATTTGTAACCGGCAGCGTTGCCAGTTCTAGGCAGTTAGGGTTAGGTTTAGGGCAGTCAGGTGGATTCTTAGATATTATATAATCTTTGGCCTTATTCTTGTTCACCTCCATTGTGTATACCTCCAATAGATTGGATCTTGTGTACATTGGGTGATCCTTAGTCCCTCTATAGCTGGTAACCAGCTCTTATCCCCCCTGGGGGTTGCTGGGCCAGCCCAGTTCTTAACCACCCTGGGGTCTCTGACCCCTCGGACGGTCACAGTATTATTGACAATTGTATAATATATTTCAATTGTATTTTTTACCTTGAATATTATATTTATAAAGCTTTTGCATGTTGATCTGAGTACTCAATGAATAATTGAATCATTATTCACATCAAGGTTGAAGTTATTGGCTCTGCATAAATATTAAATCCTGCCTTATGACTTCAAATTCACATCAAGATTCAGAATATATCTAGGCTCTACTAGCTCACAAAGAGTAATAAAAATCAGAAACTCAGGAGCTACAGGCATATTCATTTCAGACTTTTATCTACAAATCACTAATATCTTTTCCCATGCCATATCAGAAATCTGGTAGAGAATATCCTTTGACATGAGGCTGACCATGAGGACAGTCAGACTCAATATATTTATATGAGGTAAGTCATGCCAAGAATATACTTGACATGAGGTAACCCATGAGGCAGTCCAAGTCATAAGGCAACCATGAGGCAAACCATGAGGTAGCCATGAGGCCGAATGACTCATATCAGTTCATATAGCTCAGTATATAAGACACCCCAGGAACATTTGATACTGTATCTCCTTGTACCCCTGGCACCTCCCCACCTATCCACTATTGATTCAACATCTTTTGACTACACTTGTTGTTTTTATTTCCCAAAGTCCATTCTAGATTCCTAGTAAGCATATATTTTCAATCCATTGACTGATATTGAATCTAGCTTTGTGATTTCTTCTTGTTCATTGTCTGATGTCTATCCCAGCTTTGTAACAGCTATGATTACCTGTCTCATTATTGATGTAACATTCCAGACAACATAGCTATATCTTTTTGATGCTTTGCTGATATAATATTCTAGCACTAAAGGTCCATGTGTTGAATTCATAAATTTTTAGATTTCTAGAAATTGTTATTGGTTATAATCCCAGGATAATCTACTTCCTGGTGAATCAGCTCTGGGTTTGTGTGAGGACTCATTGGTCAACAATACTAATCAATGATCACAGACCCAAAGCTGGTTCACCAGGAAGTAACTTATCCTGGGGTTATTGCCAATAACAGTTTCTGGAATTCTATAGTAATGATGACATATGGACTTTGGCTGGGATGTTATGTCAGTAAAGTATCAAAAGGGTGTGGCTAAGTATTGTTTGGAATATTATGTCAGACAGGCAATCACAGTTGTTACAAGGCTGGAATGGATGTCAGACCATGAACAATGAATGGGAAGGCAATTACAAAGCTGGGTAGGATGCCAGTTGATAAATTAAAATTTGAAAATATATGCTTACTTCATTTAGACAAGAAAAATGACAAGTGCAGTCAAAAATGCTGAATCAATAGGGTAGAGAAGTTTATAAGAAAACACTCTAGAGTCTATATTAGTTTTGTATTGTTGCTATTATAATTTGTAACAGATGTTTAGAAAAAACAATGCTTCATTGAAATTCAAATCATTACAGGAAGTTATACATTGTTTATTCACAAACTGTATACTTAGTCTAGACTCTAAATATCATACTCACAACTTACAACTTATAAGAATTCTGAAGGACAGGAAAAAAACTACCAATTAACATCACACATGACACAATTTGTGTCATGTCACACAATATGTAGGCCTGAGGCAAAATGTTCGTATATTACTTAGTACTACCAAGGGACTTGAGTATCCCCCGGGAAAAACTTGTTGAAGCCAAAATATAAGCAAAATAGAATTTTTTGCATCTTTTTTTTATTCATTAAAAATATAACCCCAGAGAAAACATAATGAACCAAATAAGAGAATTTGAATACAAAATTTGGTCATTTTGACCATTTGGCAATGGGCATTGAGGAAAATGTTTCACTTTCATTCAATTTTTGCACACAATTTTCTCCCCCAAAGGAAATAGACAATCAGAGCCAGTTGGGGGATCTGAGCACCCACTCATCACCCATTTCTTTTCTCACTGCTCACTGCTCAGTGGAATTATTATGTAGATTGTTCGTGAGATTTTAGCAAAATTGGGGGAATCTTCCTCATTGGTCAAAGAAGTCAAATCTTGTATTTAAATTAATTTAATTGGTACATTCTGTAGCTCTCTGAGTCTCAGAGGATAAGATTCTATTTTGCATTACATAATTCTGACATCAAATTTTTCCCAGGGGGCACCAGGCAAGATAAGCGCCCGACAACTAGCCTGGTTGAAGTTTAAAATTCTAAGGCCTCACATGCACAGCTCCCGCCTACCGCAGTGTTCCAATATGAAGCTTGGGCTTGAAGCTGAGCTTGAATACTGTACAAACTGCGATTGATCAATGAAGCTATGATTTGAACAGTTTGGAAACGTGTAAGGAATCAAAATCCACCGGCCTCATTTGGCCGATATGATAATATATGGCAGCGATCCTCTCAAGTCAACCACCATGACACACCCTTCCCTCCATTGATCCCGGTCATTCTCTCGGACTTGCTCAAAGGATATTTGTTAATCGGACTCGAACTCAATCGATTAATCATTCGCCATGGATTTGCATGGACTGTGATAAACGATACACTAAATGCCTTGTAAGCGCCTAATGCTTATGCTCGAATAGCCTTGAAATCAAAAACAACAAAACGGCTACGAATGAGCCCGGAGAACCCTGGAGAACCTTTCCAAACCTTCCCAAATGTCCTTTGCTGACTCGAGCCAACGTATAGCCGTATAGCCTTAGGCCTCCTCGGAATCTCCGTCGTGTTGGGTAATCCGACAAAACTAAGCCCCCTCCCTTTCTCAAAAGTTTGCGAAGCGTTACTAGGAGTGCTAGTGATGATTATCTGCAAGATGAACAAGCTGGCTTCCGATAGTCGTGTCGGTGCATAACCCATTTGGTCTGACAACACAACTTCAGAAAGTAGGGATCGCATCGTCTGCAAGGCTGGTATAAAATGTGTTCACAGACTGGGATTTGATTCTTCACTCACTAAGCTCGATTGACTTTTTCTACGTCTTTTCGCTCCTGAAACTCTGATATTGCTCTACGTTCAATAGTATCATGTATTCCAAGAAAACTCCCCAAGCCCCGCCAATTTCCCGAGGAGGAGCTTGCAACAATTGCAAGTAGGTCGTCGTTTTCATTAGCCCCACTTTTCTGCTGTACGTTTCTACTTTCCTGATTCCCCTTCCTAGACGACGAAAGATGGTACGTCTACATCTACTTCTGGGTTATCGCAGTTCTCTCTCCCCCTTCTCACGTCGAACTGTCTTCCCCCTTCCAACCCTCCCCGCCCCTCGCTTCGTGCTTCCCAGAGATGCGATGGCCAAAGACCTATCTGCGGTCCCTGCAGCAAATCCACGTCCCTCGGAGACTGTGAATATGCCGAGGCGGGATATACGCATGCGGATCGGTTGCAGGAACAGATCAGTGTTCTAGAGACGCGTTTGGAACAGCTTCAAAGCGGACCTTCTAGCTCTAACCAAGCTCTGGCGCTCCATGATCCATATGCTCCTAGGAGTTCTGGTATGTATGGGTATAGCATGATGTTGACGGTGAGTACTAGTATGCGTTGACAGACTTACCATGATACCAGAGCTGAATTGGACCTTTTCAGGAAAAAGATCTGTACGTATATCCAGTTTCTTTTCTCTTTTGCTTCTTTGTTGACGCCGAAGTAGTATGGAAGCTATCCTCCCTCACCTTTCCCAACTCGGATTCTTCCTCAACTCGTCCAACCTCTTCAACGCTTACTCAAACCCCACTGCAATCGATCCCGCGTACCAACCTTCCTCTGCCCTGACAGCCTCGATGGTCCTTCTCGGGGCGCACGTTAGCCATCATTTCAATAGGAACTCCAACATCACATCCGAGATCGTCGAAGGGTATCTATCGAACGCAGTTCAAGCTACCTCATTCGGACTCTCTGAACCGCATCCTCACCGGATCCTGCATACCATCCAGGCGAATATTCTTATCGCTCAGTACTTCTTTTTGAATAATCGTGCGTTGAAAGGACGATGGCATGTGGATAATGCTGTTTCGCTTGTGCTGAGTGCTCGTTTGCATCTGATTAGAAGTGGTAGTACTAGTAGGTCAGCTGGATTACCTAGTACTAGCACCAGTCAAGGCGGGTTTGCGACACAGAATGCCCAGATATGGGAGGAGGGCGAGCAGATCAACGCTATGTGGACCGTTTTTGGATTGAACTGTCTGTGGTCGGCAGCAGAAGGGATTCCGGCGTCTATCGCGTATACCACTGATCAAGGGAGGATAGATACACCATGGCCGTTGGAGAGTGGTGGATACAATGAAGTTAGTTCCAAGCCATAATTCTTCTATTCTCCCTTGAATAATGTCTGAATCTGCTCACCAGGTCACCCTTCCTCCCGGTTTGAGATCCAGCCACACAGTCCAGCGCTTCCTTTCCGGCTTTCGTGATCAGGCAAATTCGTTATTGGCTCTGTATGTGAAGGGTGCTGTACTGTATGAACAGACGACGATGTTTCGGCAACGGTATGTGACAGATGGTACTAATAGTGAGTATCA